CTTCACTTTCTTCCTGCTCCAGGAGGTCGTCGCCTTCCTGCTCTGGAGCATTGTCGTCCATCTCGCGCTGGAAGGCCGAGTTCCTTCGAATGAAGGAATTGAACCCTATAATCGTCCCTATATAACCCAGGGTTTAGCTTTGAGGGATAGTAGTCCCTACATAATCCATTGTCTTTTCCATTACTTCATTCCCAGCTAACCGAAGGTAAGGTTCTCCAGCAATGGCGGGAAGCCCGGAATCCAGCAGCTGGTCAGGGCGGAGTAGTTCACATAGAGGCCTTGAAAGTCCAGAATTGCTGGTCAGCAACAGGTGATGGTTTGATGGTTGAATCACAGGTATTACAAAACTTTGAAACTCCCACTCCTGGAAACTCGTCAAAGAGCTCCTTCTCCTCCTCCATGGTCACATGCAGCAGAGATGCCCAAAGCACAAACGCAACGATGACCAGCATAGCCGGGTTGCACAAGGCCAACTGCGTACCTACAACAAGCCGTGGGCAGTAGGCGCGGCAGCAGCAGCAGCAAACCCTCAACCCTAAACCTTCGACATCTCGCCTAGACCCTAAACCCTAAACCTTCAACATCTTGCCTAGACCCCACAGGAGAGCGCCCATGTAGGCAGGATGGCGCTCCCAGGCATAAGGGCCCTCGCGGACGACGCGCCGATTTGGAATCTCCAAGCCTTGGAACAAGAAAGACCCCTTTGGGTTTCGTAGTAATAGTAGTGATAGTAATAGTGGCGATGATAGCAATAACAGTAGTAATAGTATGGCAGTAAATTAATATTAGTAACAATAATCATAATAATAACGGTCACGATAGAAATACGAGTAGGCTGCTGGCTGACTAGATCGCCACCCTCCGTCTGCTGGTTCGTGTCACCTATAGTCTAAACTCCTAGAACCCCTTAATATCTGTTGTATCAGTCCCTATGTAACCCTTTTTTGTTGCCCCTTTCAGGAGTTTAGACTTTAGCTCATGTGACGAAGCAGCCCACTAGCTCATCCTCCTCCAATTCTCGCGTTGAGGCCCAAAAGTTTCGGTCCTTCGAGGCAGGGGACCGCTTGTATGGGAGCTTATGGAAATCAGGGGGTTGTAGGGACCCCAAGAGATGTATCAGGAGAGGGATGATGTGGGGTGGGTCCTTACTAGCGATTCGGAGAGGACTGTTTTGGGGAACGCAGGTGTCAGTACGGATTTGGCCCTCCAAGCTTTTGCCCCAGCAGTCCGCCACGCGAGCAGCCCATGTGACCAAGCCCTGGCCTACTGCCATGGACACCAGGCCTCATGAGTCAGAAACAGTGGGTCATGACGCCAAAAACAGAAAGGTGTCTCTTAAGAATAGCCAGGCTAGCTACACGCTTCATTTGGGCTCAGCCATTTCCATCCGCTAAGTACGGAAGAGTCTGTGTCTCAGCTAAATATCAACCTGAAAGGATGCCACTGAGGGTCCCAGGACCACAATGGGCGTCCAGAGCTTGAAGTCTGGGAAGTACTTCCACTCAAGGAAGAATTCCAGGCAGCTCAATGCCACTGCAGCATCGTAGGCTGGGAACACTGGGAAGAAGAATGACAGGGTGGAGATGTAGTCGGGGGGCAGAGTGACACACTCTTTGAGGTAGCTCTGCAGATAAAGGAAGCAAGCCTGCAGCACAATCAGCCAGAATCAGCTGATTTTTTGGGGCTGCTTGCTTGGCTGCATGCTACATCTGATGGTAGATAATTGCTTAGGCTGGTCTCTAAGGTTACTGAGGATTAGTAGGGAATAAGGGAATACAATCCCTACATAATCCCTATGCACTATTTTCATCTATATTCCCTCATTTCCTACTAACCCCCTGATCCCTAAGGCCGGAGCAAATATGACCACGATTGACCATGGCCCAAGGGAGTCTGCGCCATCTGCAGCCAGCAGCCAGGATCCAAGTTCAGCAAGAGCATGGCCACCATGAAAGGCCAGCACAGCCTCTCTTAGCTTACTGCGGGGGATTGTAGGGAGAATACAGTATATGGGAATTATAAGGGATTCCATTCCCGGATTCCCTACTAACCCCCAGTCTATATAGGTCCCATAGGCTGTATTCCCTTATTCCCTACTAACCCCCAGTAAGTTAGGCACTTTCAGGATGCAAGCTGGTATGCATTTAAACCTTAGTGCAACCTGGCAGGTCTGCGTCTGGAGTGTATTTGGCGTATGCTCTACGATGGCCAAGCGCATAAACAGGTGAGCTATAGTCTGAACTCCTAGTATGCCCACGAATAACCCCTATAATAGTCCCCTATTTATTCCCCTATATAACCGCCTCTAAGGAGTTTAAAGTATGGCTCAGGTAAGATGCCAAACACCTGCCGAATCAAGCACACGCGGCACAAACCAAGAGCAGAGCCCACTCCCCGCCGTAGTCCCGCAGCAGTATTATGAGCGCAAGGTGGCAGGCCAGGAAGGACCACACGATATAGTAGGCCTGAAGCAGGTCATGCAAGCTGATCTTCCGGCTGTGCTGTTTGGATAGGCCAAGAACTCTCCGTGCCCTACTTGGAGGGTCAGGGGGACTTAGTAAGTGGGTTAATAACCCCTATAACCCACGCAGCAACCCTCATTGTCCCCATTGTTCACCTACTTACTAAATGCCCCTAAACCCTAAACCCTAAATAACGTAGTAGTTTCCAGTTGCTTCTCCATTCTTACTAAATCCCCCTGACCCTTCCAGTAGTGAATGCTTGTCCAGCCGCCGAACAAGGCTCCAGAATGGAGAAAATTAAGCCTCGGGTCATGCAGGTGGTGCTGTCCGCCCGTACGAGGCCAAGGCCACATACTATACTATAGCATATTATAGTATATTCTGATATACCTAGTGGATTATAGTATGTTATAATATACGATAGTATTCTTTAGTAAGCTATGATATGTTATAGTGTTTTATAGCAACGTGAGAGTTTAGGACTGGTAGCTGATGTGAACACACGTATGTGCTGTCACAGAACTTGGAGTTTCAAGGGGACTTAGCAAGTACGCTAATAACCCCTATAACCCATATAGTAACCCTAATTATCCCCATTCTTAACCTAATTACTGAGTGCCCCTAAACCCCTAAACAATGTAGTAGTTTCTATTCGTTTTTCCATTCTTACTAGGTCCCCCTGACCCTCCAAGCATGACGCAGGGAAGACAACTTAGTGGTGCACCACACAGGGCACCAACAGCAATGACCGCCATCCCGCGAGTTGCCTGTAAGAGACAGGAAGTTTTGAAGCCGAACGTAGGGTTAGGGTTTAGGGTTTAGGGTTAGGGTTTAGGGTTTAAGGGAGCTGTCCGCTGCACAAACACCTGGCCTTGGGTTAGCTAGGAGTGAAGGAATGGATCCTGAAAGTAGTCCCTATATAACCCGTGATAGTAGTTTCCATTTTCTTCTCCTTTCCTTCTAAACCCTAAAACCTAAACTCATTATAGTAGCTTCCAAGTTCTTTCCCATTCCTGCATTCCCAGCTAACCAAAGGCCAGACACTGCATTGCCTTGCCTTCTTCTTGTCTGGGTATTCCAGTTCATCGAAGAAACGCGTGGGAGGAGGTGGCCTCGGATGCGTAGCGCATTGGAGTGTTGGACTCCAAACCTCCAAACCGGGGATTTGCCCAATGGCTTGGCCAAAAGCTGCCTCCTAGCCAAAAAGCTCAGCTCCTCACACCACAATCTTGCCCTTTCGTGGTTCTGGCAAAGTCGGTGGCGGCGTGTATCGTGGATGATGAAGGTGAGCTTGCCACTGCTGGATCCTCAAGTAAGCATGCCGGGATACTTGCCCATAGCTTACACTTGTTTGCCAAGGCTTTTTGTGGCCTTTTGGCACCTGCTGCATTGGCCTGATTCCCAACAACCGACAGGGCCACGGTCTCCATGTCAGCACAAAAACCAACAGTGCTGGACCCCTCTATTCTGATTAATGACTAAGGCTCGTTCCAATTTCACAAGGGAGATTTACCCTGGGATCTACCAAAGATCATCCAGGGCCTTGTAACCTGAGTGAGGAGTGAGCGAGAGAGAAAGAGAGAGACAGAAAGAGAGAGAGACAGAGAGAGACAGAGAGAGAGAGAGAGAGTGAGACAGAGAGAGACAGAGAGAGACAGAGAGAGACAGAGAGAGACACAGAGAGACACAGAGAGAGAGCGAGAGAGAGACAGAGAGAGAGAGAGAGAGAGAGTGAGACACAGAGAGAGACAGAGAGAGACAGAGAGAGAGAGAGAGAGCGAGAGATAGACAGAGAGAGAGAGAGAGAGAGAGCGGGAGTTACTTGTCTAGGGCCGTGAAGAACCATTTGCCGACATTCGGACAAAGCGTTCTGCAGCAGAGCCACTGCTGCATTCGCTGGCGCTGCTGGGCGACATGCATCCTGGGGGTGCCAAACCGTATGTGCGTATGTACGTGCCCATACACAATATATACATCTTTGTCTCATACCATACATACATATACTACGTCATGGAATTGTAATAAATTGGGGTATATTTCTGGGAACTACCATGTAGTTGTATGTGCGTACGGATGCCAGTCTTCTACAGAACCAATGAGAACTCGAACACCTAGCCAGTCAAAGAAAGACCATCTTCGTCTCAAGAGCTTGTTATAATCCTAGCTTCATTATCCCTACGCCACGCCCTGTATAAACCACCACATACACATGTATAGAGATATGTAGATATACATATATATATCTCTCTCTCTCTCTCTCTCTTTCTCCCCATGGCCCCTTTACAGGGACCGAAGAGTTTCCATTTCAGTTTCTATTTTCTTTTCACTTGATTCTACATGGGGGCTTTATGTCCTTACGCTAGATTGGCAAGGCACTGGTGCATCATCATCTCTCTTCGTCGCAGCTGCTCCATGAGCGCAGCTCCGGTAAGTTCGCCTTCCTCCAGGATGTAAGACATCTCTAAACCCTTAGGAAACCCTAAACCCTAAGTAAACCCCGAGTAGTAGTTTCCATTTTATTTTCCATTATCCCAATATAACCTGGAGTCTTTTTTTTAGGGGTGGCTTTTCCTGCCTTTGAGTACTTATGTGGTACTAGTAGGAGATCAGCCGTGAAAACACCTTTCCCGCCTCTGGCACCACGGGTATGCCCTCCTTCTCCGCCAACGCTTTCAACACCGCGCTGTCAGGGCAAAAGCGGAGGCCCTGCCTGGCACTCCAGCTTTACATCAGTTTTTGGATTTGGTAGTTTCCCAAAACAGGGGGACCCCAATGTAGACCCCAAAACACGATGATCCTTATTATTGGGACACCCAAAATGGTACCCCTCATTTTGGGCAACCTGTATAAACACAGAATAACCCAGACCCTGATTAATAAACCCCCTCCCCTTAACAGGGATTATAATAGGGATCCTGATATGAAGGCCCTTCAAAGGAAGGGGCTTACTAATTAAGAGTCTACACCCTAAACCCTAACACCTAAATTGTAGTTTCCATTTTCTTTTCCATTATCCCTATATAACCCCTATATAACCCCTCTATATCATGAGTCTACATTAAACGGGAATAATGCATAGCTGCACTCCAGCCTCAGCACAGCGGAGGCTGCTTCCGGGCAGCCCATTTCCTGGCACGTAATGTAAAGCCCCTGCAAGTAGATATGGGTTTGGGTATGCGGTATGCCCCATGTTCTATCTACTTA